CGAACTCCAGCTTTTTTGAATTTGCCATTAACCCACCCTCATTTAGAGAAAGAAAATTTCTACCACTTGTCATATATACAATTTTCACAGAAATCCAAATAAACATATTCCAAACCTCGAGGTTTATTCTTCAAAAGTAGAGAATTCATACATTTTTCATTCATATGATCAAGTCTGCAGTGCTATAAGCATGCATCCACCTTGGTTCCAATCACATCAAAGAATGTCATTTCATTAATAAGGTAAATAGCGCCGCCAATGTTGCCCCTAGCTATCACCATTTCCCTCTTTGGTCACTTTCCATGAGTCACATGTGAAACCAGTCACATACTTTGACTTTCTCATCAAAACTCATTGAGGTCAGATTTCTCTTCATACTTGAAACATGTGTGACTTCATTGAGCTTCCAGGCTACTCCATTTTATAACTTGATATCCACCTCGCCCTTTCCTACGATATTTTTGGTCTTGTTGTCCCCTAAATAAACTTTTCCTTGATCACTCTAAGTGCATTTTTTCAATACATTTTTTTTGGGCATGCAGGAAAAGAAGTACCTAAATCTATTATCCAAAATTTTGTAATATTTGTGGAAAACACCAAGAATTCACGTTAGATTTTGCCAGTGGAGACATTTTTAGAGAGATTCACGCCTTGGCTTTCACCACCAACTTTTCTCTAAGCTTTGTAGTCATTCCTAAAATTCCCTTTCTTTCTGCAGTTTTAACACTCTCCTTTGTCATTTCCTCTGCTTTACTTAGATTTTTCTCTTTCAAACTTAAATTTAATTCTTCTCGTATTCCTGCTCATATATCTTCCTTTGTCTTCAACATGCAATGCAAAAGTTGAAAACTCACCATTTGTTGCCTTTCTGCAGACTTTTGCATTCAACACGAACCCCACAATACCATCAAAATTTAATTTCATATTCTCATAAGAGTTACTCATCATCGAGACCAAACCATTGTAATTTTTCAACAATGAATATAGAATTAACAGTGCTCAGACCTCATCATGTAATTTGATCATCAAAGAATACAACCGACTAGTTACAATATTGAAATTATTCAAATATTCAGGCACTAAACTATTTTTCATGATCTTCATTTTGAATAACTTCTTCATAAAAAAAATCTTACTTGAAGCAGAAAAATATTCATACAACTTTAGCAGTGTTGCCATGAGATTCACCGTTGTTTTCTCATTCACTCTATTGAACGCAATAGAAGAGAAAAGTGACCAACAGATCAAACCTAGCTTGGGTCATTTGATAGAATACTTTTCATTCCTCCATAGTCATCGATTCAGGCTTCTTGGTGATTCTTTATAGTGGCAAATATAGTTTTTTTTTTTTTTTCTCCACTTGCATTTTCCAAAATGTGAAGTTTGATCAATTAAACTTCTCCACTATGTATTTTGCTTCGTTGACCATTTTTCTCACCCTTATCAAACACCCTGCTCTGATATCACTTATTGGGACAGAAATAAAACTTAAGGAATTGATCGGTTCACAACCAATTCGAAAAATCTAAAACAAAATTTCGAACAAAAACACAACAAAGTAATCTCAGAAAAAAAACACCAAGATTTACGTGGAAAACCCCATGAATGAGAAAAAAATCACAGTCACACGAACAAAAGTTTCAGCTGTGAAAAAATTAAATTGTACAGAGATACAAACTCATATGAACTATCTACTAGCACACAAACTTACAGAACTTTACTTCCAACATTACGCTCAATCCTACAAGAAAAAGCCGACAATTCACCTCCACAAAGATGCTCGTAAAAAAAAACATCTCATGCGAGTGTGCCAACCTTCATTGCTCAAATTGATACTAAAGAATCAAAAAAGAGAGAAACTATCGGTGCAGTCACGTCGTCCTCTCATAATTACTTTGATCGCACGGCAAGAAGTCCTGGAAATTAGGAACGAACACACCTACGACACGGTCACGCCACTAATGT